CTCGAAGACTTCCGCTGCCTTCGCCAACCTTGGTCTTCAAACCCTCCCGTCACTTGCCAACCCCCTAAAAGCAATCCCAGTCTCCACACAATATTTCTCAGAAACGTCCATTTATCCTTTACGCCAAAGGAAATTCATCAAGCCCTCGAAACTACAACCAACTATACGATCCACGCAGTCCACCGTATCCCATCAAAGAAAACAGGTTCACCCTCCACTTTCCTGAAAGTTGTCACAACTTCCAATATAACCGCAGACTCCATCCTCACCCACGGCTGCTATCTTGATTACCATCACTTCAAAGCAGAACAAAACACACTGTAAGCCTCACCCACCCTTACCTTTCCTAAACCACCCCCTAAGCCCACGTTTCACAACACCCAAAAGAAAACCACCGCCAATCAGTACTCGACCGCCCATCCTATTACAATTGACCAGGCTACTCAAACTTCACCCACTCCTGAATCACAAGACATGTCAACCCAAGCCACCACTACAAGGAGAAAAAAAAAAGGCACCCAGACCCAGCCGCAAGTCTTTCCAGTAACCAACGACGCATATCAACAAACCAGCAACCCACCTCTCAGCTCCGTGCCACTTTCTACATCATCGTCGTCAATCTCACCAAACGCTCTAGTAACTGACACCTCCCCCGACCTCTACCTATCCGATGAACCTTTCTGTGCCCTCCGCCCATTCACCAGCGACACCAAGGACTTCACGCCTTTAAAACTATCCCGTAACCGGAACCTGTACCCCAATAAAACCATGGTGAACATCAGGAGAATCCCCAACTCATTCAAAAGTTAATCAACCCCAGCACCGGACTTCACTTTGCTTACCCTACTTACTTCTTCTCGCTAATCGAGCACTGGTACGGACTGGTCGTTACCAGTGAAAGTGGGTTTTCTCGGGGTAGTCCCGTTTCCCCCAACATTAAATTCGTGACATAGGATCTGTAGATCCCCGCCGCCCTGATGGACCATCTATCCTATATCGGCCGTTTAGTTTAGTTTACTCTGCTCTTCACTTTCTACTTTTACGTCTACCTTTTAAAATTTACATAGCTTGTCTGCATTAATTTCCTGTTTCTCAATTTAAGCACATATTCCTAGGCTACGCGCGGGGTGAAGGAGGATTGCTTAATCTTCGAGCACCCCTGATTAGTAATTATTTCTTCGGAAATAATTATATTTTAAATCAAAATAACTGCCAGAAACGAACGAGCTGTGTCTGTCGTATTCCGGCCGGCTTGATGAGCCCTAGTATTGCGCGAAAAGCCTCGTCGACACTGGATATAGCAGGTATTGTGTGATCCCATATAGTTATTTATTCATCTTTATTTTCACTTTATAGCTTTTAGAAATACTAAATAGTTTCCGAAGCGATTTTAAGTGTGAAGTGTATTTTTGTGACATCTGTAGGCTTTTCCTCTCTATTTTTGTTAATGGAATAAACACACTTGACTTGAATAGTATATACGCTCTGGGAGAAATGACACGTTTTGTATTTAGTCATTGTACATTCTCTGTCTCAAGTAGAACTTCTTCAGAATTCTTTAAGATTTTGACCAGATCTGTCACCAAATCGATAGCTCCCTGTCTTGTGTTTTTGTGCACTTGACGGCTTTAGTTGTAAATAAAGATTACTTTTCACTTTGTTTTACATTGTGTTTGGTCTCTTTCTTCAACTAAGTCATAATCAGGAATTTAAATATAATTTCGCATAACACTTTCTGCTGTTCCTCCCATTACCTGCGATTACTATTCTTCGCTGTAAAGCAATTAGTGGACCTAAGAATACTACATCCTCAGCATTGTGGTTCTTCCAGTAAGTATGTTTATAACCCTAATTTGATTAATTAAATTTTTATCCTTAATTTTTGTTTTGTTGCTTTCATAAAGAATATTTAAATGTGGGTTTATTAGACTTTGTAAGACGCTGTTATTGTTTTCAAACGCAAAGCTGCACAATGAGCAATATGTACCGTGTCCACTGTGAGAATCTAACACCGGATTTTAACGTTGTAAGTCCGTAACCTTACCGCTGACTCATCGAGGAAGTGGCAGTTTTGTAAGAAGAAAGAAATAACACACTAGGAAATAAAAGAGTAAGATATGGAAGATGCCACTTAAGAGTATGGACTTTATAATAATTTCAGCTTGTATTCAAAGAACTTACCTTCCAAAATTTTCTCCGTCTTCCAACGTTTCTGGTAGTGAACGATTTTTAGTTTCAGGTAGCAACAATACTAATAAGCCCGATGTTACAGCTAAGCTGCCATAGACAGCTGGAGGCACGTTAGGATCTAAGACAACTCCCTATTAGAGTTGGAAAAAATAGCACTAATAACCATTGAAGCAATAACGAAAGAAAAAACTAGATATCAAAATTGTAAAATGTTATATCTGTCAACAGTTACACGCACACCATTGAATTCACACCTCTCAATCTGGATTCAAAAATAAGATGTGTTAAAAGTGGCTATAACACCGTTATTTTTCTCCTTTATACGTGTTTGAAATCAAATCTAAAATCATATTAAAAATTTCAAGGTGTATATTGTTTGATGAGAGTAATATGGGAACGTGGAATATATTCGACAATTTGTATATAACAAAATGAACTAAAAACCGTTTCTCACTTTCATATCTATCTAAAATATTTTGACTGTAGTTACTAAAGTATGTGGACGCTTTTACCAAATGGTTAACAATATAATGACTGTCACTACCAATAAGACGTTTTTAGTCAATACTTTCCTAAGAATAATTTGTGTATATAGAAAGCTATAACTTCTGGTTTTCCTATACTTAGTGTAATGTATGTGATAAATTTGAAAAAAATTATTGAATTATAAATAACAGTTTTAACGTTACTATATGTAAGACGTCACAAGTTAGATAATGCCGTATAGTGCTTTCATTCGAGGTCTCAAAAATACTAAGTTACTGTAAAAATTAGAAACACTTTGTAGAACTTGGACTCTAAAGAATAAAATAGAAGATTCGTTTCAATGATTCCTTAATACATTACATTTGCTTTCGTTTTTAAAATTTGACTCTTACATCGTTAAATTATGTTCAACTGTTTTAATAAACTGTTTCATACGTTCATTACTCTTAATTTTTCAAAAGTTTTATAAAAAATATTTACTTTTATTTCTATATTTTTTCTTTTTGTCCTTTTTTAATTCTGTTAGTCTTTTATTCGTTAGTCCATTGATCTGCCCTATTAAATTTCGATATCTAAATATAGTAATGAACATACATTTAACCACTGTGGAGAGTTTTGTATCCGTTAGTTTTTTTTTGTTTTTTGTTTTGGAAATGCATATGTTAATACGTCAAACTGAACGTTCCGAAACATTTCCAGCACTTAATTCGCTACATTTAGTGTGGTATGGTGAGCATAAAGTTCGGAAATTTTAAATTTCCATTTACCAGGTAACGCACTAATGGAGCCACAGCCGAACCAACTCTAGCACACATACAGGAGCACCCAATTCCCATGTTCCTGATGGTTGTAGGATAGAGTTCCGCCCCGTAGATGTAAACGATTTCAAAAGAAGATGTAATACAAAACTTTCCAAACATCGCCAAGACGACCTTCACAACATCCATATCTGAAAAATATCAAGAAAACTTAGTCACAATAAAATATATTCAGTATTATCATTTAGAAGCCGTAAGGCTTAACTTTTGTAAAAGAATCTTTCCAGGATATCTTTATTAAAACCTTTAAATATTTCCAAACCAAGGATATAAGCGAATCTACGTTGTTTATAACGTTTCATTGTAATTTATATACTCCTATTACTTACATTTCCCAACCGTAGAATAAGAAACTAAACTACAGAAACTTCCTTGGATCGCGAAGAAACCCTATTATAGCAACAATTATTATGTTGTTAAAATGTATAATTGTCATCAATATTTTTTAACACAAAGCAACATTTAAAAACTTCTGTATTTGATTTGTTGGCAGACTTATTTTTAATACATAGTTTACTATTGTGTGTCATTATAAATTATTTGAGTTTTACCTTTTTCAAAGTTAAAACTGAAAATTTTACAAATAAAATCTAAAATCATGTTAGTTTGTCGTGACTGTCCACTAAAAATTTCAACTATTTTAATGACATGCTTAAGAGAACATATGACTTTACATCAGAAAATTCAAACAATAACCAGCTGGGTAGAGCAACCTGAGATCCTTTTTTACAACTGCATTGTCATCATATTTGCTACATTTTCTTTAAATTCTCAAGTTAATAATTGATAACCAGGCGGCAAAAAGAAACCCAGGTCGGGGAATTTAAAACTCGACAAGTACCAGGGTTTTTGAGTACCCCTTCTCAATTCTACTTAGAATTAAGATTCAGAATAGAATGGATTCAAAAAAACCACAGTGTAAAAAAAAAAGCTGAAAATACTCTCTATTTACTTATAACACAAGTTAAATCTGACTAGAACACAAGACGTTGGGCAGCACTTCTCCGAAAATGCCGAGAGATTTTACCAGGAGAAATTCTGAATAAGAATTATATAGAAGTCATAATCTGGCATTCTTCGAGATTGAATTTTCCAAGCATGTCATATGGCTGTCCCATAAATGAAAGTAGGGAGATGATATCTTCCAGACATTTCTAAACCTGTACGCTGCAATTATGCTAAAGAAAACGTGACTGAAGACCAAATTGATATCTCCAGCAGCACCTCCCATAAGAAAGTTCGGTTATTCTTTGCGCGAGATGAATTACTCATCTTTCTAAGCTAAAATAAGAAAGAAAACGTGGCATTTTTTACAAAAACCACAGTTTTGATCGTTTCATAACTAGCAAGGATGTGCCTTATTTAAGACTGTAACAGTGATCACCGTATTAGTTTTATTACTTAGTCTGAACTCGTATGTTATACGATTCAATTTGCATCAGTACGAGATGAAGGAAAAAGAATGTGCAACAGATCTTGCTAAATCATACTCTATTTCTATTCGCTAAACTTTCATTTTGGATTGAATTTTTCTACGCCTACATGTGACGAGCTTTAGTTGCTTGTTTGTTTTTAGATTTTTAGACACGGAGGCTATTCGCATATAGCGTTTCAAATTTTGTACTGATAAATTAAACAGAAGTCAGTTACTGCCATCTTTTTAGCTACTTTTGTGAGACCGAATAGTGTGATTTGACAGTCAGTCTTATAACACCCCACGGCTCCAGAGTGAAGAGTGTGATTTTTTCTTGAGGTTAAGAGACCTATTAAATCAAACTTTCCATTATCAGAAATAAATTTATAATCTAAAATAGAAGATGAAAGTAATTAAAAAATTCATACTAAAGTTTAGTTTCACCAAAACTGTCCACAGCAGGAAAAGCTCTAACGTAATTCAAAACCTAAGTTCATAAAATTTAAAAATTATTGTAACGAGTGACAAAAATGTTCTATTTTTTTAAAGCTAAACATATTTAATCTGTCAAATGAAAAGCTTTGTAATACGAATATGTAATTTTCTTATGCTAAGCGCCTTGATATACAGGAACTTTTTGTTATATCACAACATTTAATCGTTTTTAATCTTCGTATAAAAAGTTTATCAGTTATATTTAATAACAATGATTCAGTTTCTTAGCGCAAATGTTTTACCCTTAGTTTCCTTTGTCAACTTTGTTGTTGGACATTAATTCATTATGCAAAGTTTCAGTTATTAATTTTTAACTTTAACTCGCCCAATAAAATTTAAACCTAAAAAAGAAAGTTTCATCCAGATCAAAATATTTAAAAACCGTTTAGGCTATGTCGAAATGTCTGTGACTTAAAAAGCCCTTTCTGGTTGAAATAATAAGGGTTTGGATACCAGTTGCAGATCCTTTACCATTGGTTAATAACCCTTTAAAAATAAACAGTACCTCGCTAACAATAAAGTTTTTACTAACAAATTATGAACAATATTCATTTAAAACGGTTAGTGAATAAAAAAGCATTTATTTGCTTCAAATTTAATACTGAACTGAACCAGTCAAACCTAACGCGAAAGTACTGCAAAGCTAAATGAACAAAGCATGCTATTAGTTATTGAACCCTAAAAATACCCAAAAAACTAAGTACCAAGCTGTATTTGGTTTCGATGAAGCCAAAAGTGTTATATCTTATATCCAAAGTTTGTATATAAATTAGCTATTTTTTTTTCTTTACATTTCTCTTACACCCTGAAATAGAAAACTAGCTTTCTGCCTGATAAGTCTAAAATCGTGAATCGTCTTAAGACTGTAGAAAGAAATACGTCAAATTTTGGCAAAATAACGGTGGCGAAACAACGAAATCATAAAAAAAAAGTTTGTAGAAGCCAGAAATGTTTTTCGTTTTCGTAGCTCCACTGGAAACAAGGATGTTTTTTCTTCTTGTTGTTTTTTTTTGTTTGTTTTTTTAAAGCAAAGCCACACCGCGAGGATTCTTACGTCCTTGTTGGATCACTTGACTGAAATAATTTTGAAAACCAAACAGACAAATGCAACATTGATATTAAAAACTACAAACTTTATTTGACGGTTGCATTGGAAATTTTTTTTCGACAGTCCCTGTTTTTAGGGTTCAACGAACAGACTCGTAAAATGTGTTCTATTTTAGAACCTGATACTTCAGCATGCTATTGAATTGCAAAACAATAAAATCTTACAAAGAGGGTTATGCTCTGACTGAGATTATGTTAGGTATTCAACTAATGAAGATTATATGCTATATGTATTATAGGCTACCTAGTGGGAAAATATGGCGACCAAACAATGCACAAATAGTTGACTGAAATCGGCAAAATTTATTCACGTTACCATATTGATAACGTCATCAAAGAGGTCTTACATCTAGTAATTGATCAAAATTAAAATTTTAGAATTGAGTTATGATAGTCTATAAGCAAACAAAATTTCATCGAGATTAGATGATTTCTTCACATTTTCCATCTTCATTTCTAGAATGAACCTCCACCCGACCCCCATGTTTACCGAATTTTGAATACTTTAATTAGGTAGTTTGAATATAATGTTACAGAGATCAAAATGGTACTAAAACAGCTTCATGAAAATATTTACAAGTTAAAACTTTCAACAGACATGCTAAACAAAAAATCAAACTATTATACATACCTTGTGGTACTGCAGGCATTATCGAACAGGAGATTCCTCCAATTACCATAAAAAAGCATAGAGGATACTGCCGCCCCCACTGGTGAAGGACAAAAATTGTCAAGACGTAAGCAGGTATTTCCATTAATCCAGAAATAAAGACATTTAAATAAGGGTTTCCGTCCAAATCTACAACTCCCAAGGACAACCCATAATAAACAAATGCGTTGATAAACCTAGAAAAATTACAATAAATCTTTACGTTCAAACGAAACATAACTATGAAAGATGTTAATTGTAGCTTCATTCTAGTTTCATAGCTAAATATCATATTTTACTTTAGTTTCGAACTTAACTTGTGTGTATAATTAATGGACATACCTTTTATTGCTTCTTTGATACCAAACTTGTAATATTTTAATTTAGTATTAGATCTCAGTGACACATATTTACTCGAGTTTTAAACCCAGAAGACATCATTTGTGTTCCTTTTTTAGACAAAGTATATTGTTTTTATTCAATTTTTTACTCCAGTATTATACATTTTTTTCTTATTTTTAAACCTATTATCACACTGTCACTCTATTTTGATGTTTGTGTCGTCAGCAGCACATCTTTTCGTAGTTCCTGACGTGTCTTAATCTTCTTTTCGTACCGTATCTTAACATGGCATGTTTTTCTCATAAGCTGTATTATTATCAAACATGATTCAAGTATGTGGATGTGAATCATTATGAACAGAATAATCATTTAAAGAGTGTAATATATTCACAGCAGTGGTAAATTTACGAAAGGTAAGCAATTGCCCTCATTCTAAAAACCTGTAGTGAGAAATAAAATGGTCATGTAATATGTTGCCTGACATATTTTTTGTATATTCAAAACTAAAATATGCAACATCCAAAATTACGAAGTCGAACGTTGCTTAAATTTATTTTTGTCTCCCTCTTACACTTTAGTCCCAAATCCTATGATTCGTAGTATGATTTTGAGACCTAATTTGTTGACTACGACTTGTTCTTATAGAATTACAAATTTAGCTGTGAAATCTGAAAGTATCGCCGTTATTGTTCTAACAGTAGTGTACTCAACAGATTACGCGACAGTATACACTTACCAACAGAAAAACATATTCAATGAGATTTTACGCAAGTTCGGTGTTCTTAATAAATCTACAACTGTGTGAACGATGAGGTTTGCTGGGCCTGCACGTTTATGATTATTCAATATTTCCCGTCGGTCAGAAGAAACATTGGGAGCAGAAGTATTGTTCAGCAGCGCTGCTTTGTGGAGTATTTTTTCTGCGTCTGCTATCCTGTTTCTGGTTAACAACCAACGTGGAGATTCAGGTAGAAACCTATAGAATATACATTTCGATAATTGTGAAGTTCGAAAGAGCCAACTGCCAGGTTAGCACACAGCTTTAACTCGTAAACTATATACCATATATATATAATACGTTAAAAACTTGTATGAAGGTTCCAATATAAAAAAGAAGGGTGCAAACTCGTGCAAATTTAAAAACAATGTGAAAATAGTTGATGATGGAATTTTTTTAAAGTATCAAAAAGCATTAGGAAAATAAACTGCTTCTGTTAGAACGAATTAGACTAAAACAACAAACAAATCATTGAAAAATATTGCAGAAGGGCAAAAACCACATAAAATTAGTAGAGAAGGAAGTGATTAAAATTTTATTACAATTAATTACAAATTCTAAAGCAAGTAAGAAATATGTATCTTTTTTTTATGAATCAAGAAATCGTAATTCTTACTTAACTATTTGCAACACTAGGCGGAGTTCAGAGAAGATGTAAAGCATTATCAGAGGTGGGGTTTAGGCTGGTCATCTGCAGTTAGGTACTCTGAATACTTAAATTTCGTCTCTGGTGCAACTGAAAATTGTAGACTCTAAATATGTAATTGACTTAATAGACTGAGTGTAAAATTGTTTTATAAATATTTTTCAGACAACTGAGAACATATTATCAAATGAAAAAGCGCAGTTCCTTTTAATTTGTTGTATTTTTTTGGATTGTAGAAAAACGTTCATTACAAAATATCTAGGAAAATACGCATGTGTAAGTTAAGATGATTTATATGATTAATAGCTAGACAATAGATCCATAGAGGAAAGTTAAAACTGTCTGTTTGCAATCCTACGTCGCACATAAAGACAGAAGCAGCAGTAAGTTTATATCAACAATGAGTATGCCCCGCATAGCCAGGTGGTTTGGGCGTTTGACTCGCAAGCTGAAGGTCGCGGTTTCGAATCCCCGTCCCCCACGGCTGAAAGGGCGACCAAACATGCTCGACCTTTCAGCCGTGGGGGCGTTATAATGTGACGGTCAGTCCCACTATTCGTTGATAAAAAGAGTAGCACAAGAGTTGGCGGCGAGTGATGATGACTAGCTGCCTTCCCTCTAGTCTTTCACTGCTAAATTAGGGACAGCTAGCGCACATTGCCCTCTTGTGGCTTTGCGCGAAATTCAAACCAAATCAGGCGAGTATTGATAATTTTAAAGTTATATAATTAAATCCGTAATCATTCATAATTAACTGCTAATTGCAACCATTTTATCGTAGCAATACGTTTATACATAAATATTCAGTGAGTATTCTAGGCGAAGGTAGTCAATTATACATTTTATCCTGACTTGTTTACGTTATTATTGTATTAAAACACAAACTGCAACATGTGTTTAGATGTAAACACACCTTGATTATACAAGTTATTAAAATTTCCATTTTAAGGTTATAAGAATGATGTCCTGCAACAGTTATTTATGGATTGAACAAGGTTTTTTGACAATACCTTGTGATTATTATTATTATTAAATCATACAATATTGACTTCATTTGGTAACGTTCTACTTTTGAAAATCATGGATCTACAAACGTCTCATCACTGTAGGCCATGGCCGGTTATAGTGTAAACATTTCAGCCCATATCTGTTCTTATAAATTGATGTATTTTATTAAAATGTAAACCCTCATCGTAATCAAGGTGTTGTGTCCACATTTTTCCTGTGACTCTTACATACGATTAAGTCCACTTAAGCAGAATAATTACATAAAGATTGAGTTATCTAGGTTAAGTCAGTGTACTGAAAAGTGTTGACTTTTCCGTTGTTCTGGAATGACCTTTCATCAATTTTGTGTTCTTTTTTCGGTTGCTGGCTCCAAAATCTATTACAAGGAAGGCTTAAGAATAATAATTCAATTATGCGTAACACCAAATAACAGAATTTAAACAGATAAAAAAGCCAAATATTTCGGTTTGAATTGAATTTATTGTTTAAAAACTATTCCTACTAGTAACTAATTCCTTGCAAATTCGTAGCTGTACGTTTGGCTTAGGTTCAAATCTGAGAATCACAAATTTAATGTTATCTAAAACAAGAAAGCCAAGCATTCACATAATATCATCTTGCTAACACGCCTTATACGCATCACGACTGTAATTACAAAGTCTTAAAAACGGCACAGACTTATGAAAAGAAGGCAGTCTGAGCAAAATAAGTAGTCCCCATAAACGATACACCGTGAATTTTAAATTTTAAAATTGTAATATACTATTTTCTACTAGAGCCTAGTAATCCATAGATCTATATTATAGCACCAAGTGGTTTCTTCTTTTTATAACTGCAACAAACTAAAGATCCGTCTCAATCGTCATATAACATCTATTTTAAAAACAACGACAATACATCATATACATGTAAAAAATTATTGTCTAAAAAATAACAAAACCACAAGTTTTCTTTTCTAGCCTGTCACAATGTATATGATTTTGTTTGTTGAATTTCGCGCAAAACTACTCAATTGCCATCTGACCAGCTGTTCCTGATTTAGAAAGGATACATTTGAAGGAAGGCAGTTAATTAACATCACTAACCGCCAACTCTTAGCTACTCTAATCGAATTGACCGTCATATTAAAATGCTCCCATGGCTAAAAGGGCGAGCATTTTCGGTGCAGTTTGTGAGTCGAGCGCTCTAATTACCAGGCCATTGCCAAGTCACATCATAAGTAAGAAAAATGAACTCAGCTAATAAGAAAAACTCAAAATATTTCTGTGCAACTAAGAGCCTCTCCACCTACACATTCAAACAACGTGAAGGTATGATACTGACCAATAATAAAGAACAAACGTGATCAGGGGAAAAATAGATATGGTCAGTTGAAGCGGGAACCAATCACGCCACAGGTAAGCAAGTCCAGCCAAAACCATCAGCCCCACAGCAAATCCTAGCTCTTTAATTACAGCCACAGTAGATCTCTTTGTGGGCCCACACACTTCTATCACTGGAAAATAAGATTCATATTTCAACAGTGGTTAATGTTTGAGATTTTTTTCGTTTACTTGACAGTGTGTAATCATTTTCACATATTGTATGTTGTTGTTGTTGGTTTTTTTTAACAAGCGTTGTCACTTTGTGTAAATTGATTACGTTTAACTAATATAACAGATACCACCTCACTCCACTGCCCAACTACCTGCTATCAGCCTTCACTGTAGTAAAATATTAACAATTTTACGAGTTTTTTACTAGCTATAATTGTGTGAGCAGTAATAAACTTCTGGTTACTACAATAGCATCAGCAAAGTTTATAATGCATTGCAAGTATTGTTATAAATATTCTAAAATTACAAATTATTGCTTCCATTTGTAAACGATATTTTTGTCTTCCAAAGCTGATATAAAGTATCTTGGTCAGGGATTACGACGTTACAAAAGCAATGTTCCTTATCTAATCTTACGACGGTCCAAAATAAAAATATAACAATAATAATTTCAAGTTCACCGGTTCCATTCGTTATTAAAGCGGCGAAGAACTTTATTAAAGAAAACGCCCACAGATAATACAAACAAAACATTTCGTGAAATTATACAAATAATTCCTGACAATGTACTATTGAAATGCATCACTGATATTAAAATTTAACATATAGTCTACTCATCGCATTATGTAAATGTTGAATTCATACTGACGCTAATAGGAAACATAATTCGATTAGAACAACAAGTATCTGTACAAGTCTCCATAACAGTTCAATATTGATAACTTGTACTTGTATTGTAAAATACTCTTAAATATGTAAAATGTATTGTTGTATGTTACAAAGCAATTCTAATTATAACCAAACAAACCTGTTAAGAAAACAGCAATAAAACCTCTCTTAAAAACCAGTTCCTAAGTAATGATAAAACTATTACTGTTTTCAGTATTAGTTATGATAATATCTATATCTACAATGTTGTTTGTTTGTTCGTTTGAAGTTAAGCACAAAACTACACAATGAGCTATCTGTGCTCTGCTCACCACGGGTATCGAAACCCGGATTCTAGCGTTGTAAGTCCGCAGACACACACTGGGGGGGGGGGGGCCTACAGTGTTGAGCTTCAGTTTACTTACATGAAAAGCTTTCTCCAACAGTTTCAAAGAACTTGAGAAATTTTAGGTTGAATACTAGGTTTTGGGTTATATATATATATATATTATACTAAAGGACATGTTGAATGTTAAACTATGAAAGACGAATCACTCCATTCTAATCATAAGTTCTATGATATTTCCTACCACTACCGAGACTGGTGCAATAAATTAGCTATTTTAATTTCTAGGTTTATTTTTAATTCTGATCTACGTAGGTAGCTTGCTTTGATCAGAGGTTAATGATAATTAGGCCATGATAAGTAATTGCACAATTTAATATTTAAAACTTCGTTTTAAGTTGGCCTCAGAGTAATTGACTTCCCACTAGTAAATTTAATGTTTAATATAAACATTAGTATATATATATTAAAATCCTTGAATTTTTTTACATCTTTACTATGCTAATATTGCGCGAAGGCTACGAGAAACTAATTAACATGTGTGAGGTAAATATTTATGCTTTATATATCAGTAAACCTGTCAGCAGTTCAGCTATGTTGTTATTATTTTTTTAGGCGTTCAAGTGTTTTGTTTTGTTTATACATCCTTCAAGCGTTTTGTAATTTAATATTTCAGCAATAGTACACACTACTTTATGTACTACACGAATACTAGATTTTAAGAAAACTCTAAAACTTTTACTAACCTAAAACAAAGCCAGAATTGGCTAAGCCAGCCACACCAAGCGCCACTATAAACCTCATGAGGAGAAAGAGCCAGTAATACGGACTTAAGGCTGCACTAATACCAGCAATGATACTTATAAGGATCGACAATAAAGCAGTGGTTCTTCTTCCAAACCTTCGAGAAAACAACAGCAAAACTGATTCAATTTTATAACAAATGACAGAGATATTATACAATATAACAATGCTAGATGTCAACATTTAAAGACATCTCTCAATTAGCGTTTTTTTCAAGAAACGCGGTTGTTTAATAAATTAATAATTATACAGTTTATTGCAGTACTTTACAATTGTATGTCATTGTAGGCTTATCTTACACTCATTTGCACTTTTTATTGTTATGTGATTACTTTTATCACAATTTAACTGTTATAAGAATGAGTTAATAAACTTAATAATCAAAGAAATGTTCTACACTAGTTTGTATCATTCTGATTATCATGTAAACAATTGAATTAATTATACAAAACAATATTATTCCAATATCAAAACTTAATGACTTCCAGATTTATGGACGTTATAGCAATTTAAGAAGCCACCTCATCAGTTTAATATAGGAAAAACTTTCAGATCGATAAAGATTAAGTATTTTACCTGTCGGATATTGTTCCAAACACAATCGATCCCACCAGAAATCCAACCATGTAACTTGTCTGCATTAAACTTCGAAGTGCTTCTCTTTCACACACAAGATTCCACTTAGTAAAACGATGAGAAACAAACATATATTTATTCAAATTGATCTTGAAATAACTACCATTATTTGTAGTTTTCACTAAATGAAAATTTCTGTATGTCAAACATATAAATGTAAAAACAACTAAATCGACAGTCGAAAGAAACAAGTTCATTTGAAAAGTTTCCTTATAACCTTATCCGAAGTGCGTACAAACCTTCAGCAGGCACCATTTGTACACCTGGTGGTAGAATATCGAAATACCAACATGAGCACTAAAGCAAAGTTATCTTTCAAATAAAATACTTGCCACGTGAAAACGAAAATTCTTTGAAAAATAGCTAAATTAATCAAGATTTAATGGTAACTTTACAACCATTACGGGCATATGGTATCGTATTTTTACTGTAGTCGCTAACTACAAGTTATTTCGAGATTTAAACGGAAAGCTGAGCAGTCTGAAATTCTCTTTTTAATTAAAAATATTGCATACGTAAACAAATATTTTACCAAACTTTTTCTCTCAAAGTCATAATGGATACCAACCCTTACCACCTACCTAGTTAGGATGAAGAAGATACAGCTTTTAGCTGGTCCAGATATGTGTTTCGTTACTGATTAAGATTTGATCAGTTGAATAATACAGAGAAAATTCATTGTGACATCTTTCTTTTTCTTTTATACAGAGAATTTATTCTTAGAAACAATAGCTAATTAAACAATATTTATATAATAATTCGTCCAACAAGATGCGAATAAGTTATGCTATTATTTTTATTCAATTATTTGAAAAGGGAAGGCTATACTCTCAATTCTAGAACCACATAAACAGATTTTTAGATGATTATGTTTTATTTTACTAAACCCAATGCAACTCATGACTCTATACATTTTCCAGTATGTATGCTTATCAGTTTCATACTAATATAACACGTGAGTAACTATATCTTACCAAAGTAATTCTAATTTCCCTTAGCAACAAGCAAGAAATCAATAAAATACGCTGGTGCTAAGGGCCACCTCTGGTTACGATCAATTTTCTTTCAAAAATATATATTTCAATTATCAAAGGTGTGAACTTATTTATTTACATTCAGTCACCATTAACAAATATACTTCTGTGGCCAATTCGTATGTAAACCATTTACTTTGTTTTGGATACAATAAGAATAGACAAAATAGGAGTCAAATAATAAATTAAAAGTTTCAAACAATTTCAAAATCAAATAAAAACATTTTACGCTTTCTTTTTATTTTCCTTCGATTTTTCACATGAAACTTAGTTTTCTATGTATATCAATTATTGTATATATATATTTCTACAACAATCTACAATTATTTCTGATAATCTTTATTGTTATTAACACAATATTTATCGTTAGAAATTCCGCAGCCTTGAACCACGTGTGTTATAATGTTTCATACTAAGACTGTTTATAAAGTTGTTCATAATATAATTGCTATATAGTTAACTACAACAGACGGTGTTATCAATTACGCCACCTTTTGATGAAAAAAAAGTTGATACAGGTTTCGTAGCCTTTAAGTGCGAGAGACATTTATGGCAGACCTTTTCGACAATGGTCCCTTTGTAGAGACTCCTATCGTAATCCCATGAGGCACAAGAAACGCTCCTATTTATTACAGTTGCTGGAAGTTCCGTCATGTTGAGGTAGTTTAAAAGATAGTTGTCTTCATCACCCAACTCATACATCTGACACTGGCTGTACCTAACCTGGCCTCTAATTTCTTCTATCGGAATGGTCAAGTTTTTCCAAAGGTCATACGAAATGTTACTTAAGAATGGTGGTCTGCTGCACCAATGGTCTATGTTGGGCATGAAAAAAGATACGGCCAGGTTGTGGAAGGCCACGGAAAATCCAACAAGCCATGATAAGAACAGTACACGCCGCTGCCATGGCCCAAAATCACCTACTAAATGTGTTATGACATCTTCGGCCATCTTGATTAACTAGCTGTATAAATGAGGAAAAAATAATGTAATATCGTCCATCAAACAATGAACATGGATGATTGGTCAGTACCTAAGGAGAGAAAGTCGTGTTTAAATCAACAACAGAATATGACACTTTTCGATATAACGATAATGTTTACATAATTATAAAAGATTATTCATAAGATTATCATACATTATTTACCTTCATGTCAAATGTGATGTTTTATGACCACATACATCACAAGTTCCTTCAGTAGTGGGAAACTGTTCGTTGTGAGAGTTGACAACAAAACTTGTCCTTAAAAACTACTACGTGAGCAACTTTAACATTTATTTCCTGAACTGATTTTCACCTTATTGAAAAGATAAATTCCTGTTTTGATCAAAATAGGTAAAAAAGCATTGCATCCCAGCAACTATCAGTAAGTTGACGTTATTTTATTAATGCAAAGCTACACGATGGTCTATCTTCACACTGTACAGAGTAAGGAATAGAACCCAGGATTTTAACGTTGTAAGTCAGGGGACATATTAGTAGCTAATACTAATAAAGTATTAAGCGCTGCAGACTTTTCAAAAATCTCTAATTCCAGAATAAATGATAATACAAAATGTTAAAAAACTAGACGTGTTTCTTTAAACCGACTTTGTGTTTTTTGAGTACATAAACGTTCTGTTTCCTTATATAGTTGGCCCTCTATCGATAACAATAAGAAATTTATTATCGCAGTTCATGTTTATTGAAAACTTAGTTAACGCAGTAGAAAACACAGGAATTACCCTCGTTTACTTTTTTCTCGATTCGTCTTTTATACAATTTGTTTGTTTTGTCCTTCCAATGGCTGAAGATTAGGATTGAGGATCCAATATGCTAAGTATCAGGGTTCGATCCCTCCGGTGGACACAGCGCAGCATTACGTAGCTTTGCACTGAAGCAAACAGTTTGGTTTCTTCTTTACCTTCGTAATACATATATCTATGATACATTACTTATCAAAACGTACTTTAACTTGCTGTTTTAGTTGACACCTAAAAGTTTGTGATGCTCTATGGCTGTAACACCCAGCCTAGTAAATTAAACCACTTTTGTTCTTGTCAATAGTCAATAGATAAACCAGTCTAACTAGGACTTGTCATCTAGCTCTCGTCATTTCTGTAAGTCATGACCTCATTCAATAATGAAATATCATAATATAGGTTTATAAGTTGCTAATGAAAATATTAAAAAAACAAAATAACCGTTTATTTAGTTTTCAGAACTTTATTTTTAAAAAATATAGCAGGTTTCTTATGTTGAAGATGTGTTGGGATCAAAATGCTTGATTAGCTACTACAAAACATTTTGTTATCGTATCTTACACGACAATTTAACTATGCACGAGCACGATTTTTCATGAACCATGATCGGGCATACTTTCATTTGAGTGTGTCATTTATCACCCAATTACAGAAAGCAAAATTTAAATAAAGAAATATTTTAGCATGTTACAAACATTTTATTTTCACGAAATGAAACATTTAGGCAAAACCATTTATTCGTTGTACGCAATGTAAAGTTCAATCGTAACAATGTATTATAGTGCCACCTGGTGGATCTTTGGTTTCTTATTGAAATATTACAATTTAATAACAGAAGAAGTAAGCTATACTCAGCAAAGCTAAACTTCGATATTTTTACACACCATAAAAAGCGTTGTCATCTGATGAATATGGCCACAAAACAAATAATTGCGTATTGCAAGGATAAATCAAGATACATACCTATATTTTATGTACGCGTCAGCTAAATATCTTATCTTTGATGAATCTTACGATTTCTTTCTATTTCGATTTTTTTCCAAGACAAAAACATACAGCTTAAAAATAAGTATGAAAGAAGAAAGATAAAAAACATAGAGATATTACTAGTTGTCTGACAATGACACAACAAACGTTTCTAACATAGTTGTTGCCATATTTGTTTTTTCTTTATTTTATTACATTCGTTTACAATGGATGAAAATTTTCATTTCTGAGCTTATTGCATGTCTACGTTTGTCACAGTCGTATATGCTTGTCTACTTAGATGACCAGTTTTACGATTTAGCAATAAATTCTAAAACAACGATTTTAATAAGGTTTGTATTAATTGTTTTATGCGTGAACTGAGTAAGCGTTTCAACATTGATATGGTTATGTAAGAAGCTGGATTTAATTATTTAGTGTTCAAACTGTCAAATCGTTTTACTTGTATGTATGGCATGTCTCACCTCGGGAGTTTACTTTGAAATGAAATGTAGACCTAAAGGATATTAAATTCTATGTTCTGATATTTCGAAAATATATAAAAGACTTTCAAACTCGCATATATAATAATACAGAAATTCAAAAATAAGCTTCAAAGAGTTTTCTGATTGTATATATAAAAAAACAGTAATTTAAAAAGTAACAGCCTTGTTCTGCGTTAATTATTAAACGAACGTTCTCTTTGTACATTCTAGACCTGTGTTATCCATCTGTGATACTGGATTCATAACCTTACAAATGCCCACGTATTTATCAAGTCTTAATCCATATGCTTTTACTAGCATTTAGGTATTTCTTATGTGTAATACAGGTTTCGTAGCCATATAAAGAACCATGCCTTTGATAAGTGTTATTTTATAAGTTTTTGCAGTTGCACACTTTCATCAAGTCACAGTGTTAACTTCCTGCGATATTATTATATGAGACGTTATAGATATTCGTGATGTTTTGTTTTGTTTCACAGCACATTGAAGTAAAAAAAAAAATGCTTTTCGGGTCGACAAACAAACGTTTCGTTTCAAACGAGTTAGATACACTATTAACATATGAATGAAACGAAAGTTCTGACTCATACAAGCTAAAATGTAAACAACGACATGTTGGACTTTGCCAATGTCTGTATGTTCAATTTAAATAGCAATATTACAAAAATGTCTTGAAAAGAAAACCTATAAAAAAAGTTAAACCTTTGTTCTAAAATATCCATTTACGCGTAGCTTTCGAATTACAGAAATCAAAGTTATATCCAATCAAGTTATTCAAAATATTCAAGTTATTATCCATAGAATAATAATATCAAAGGTTATTTATATGAATACGTTAATGCAGGATTGCTACAAATCTTACCTCAAAATGTAACAACAAGTGATCATAATTCCACCAAATGACCATAAAGTATTTTCTAAAGTGAAAATAACAACATATTATTTGTTGCACTAACTGACCATACTATTATTGAAAAAAAAACTGACAAATATGTTTGTTTGCTTCGGACATTCGCGCTATACTATGCAAGGGCTATCTGCGCCGTCACTAACTTGGAACCTGCAGACTGTAGAGAAAGCAGCTAGTCAAAATTACTCACGGCCAACTATTGGGCACCCCAAATTGAATAGTGGGATTGGATCGACACTTTTACAACGCACGAACAGCTTCAAAGTGCGGAGTGCGATTTTACGGTAACGGGACGAAAACCTCTGACCCTCGGATTCACAGTCTAGTACGTTAATCTTCAGGCCACACCCGCCCAACTAATCAAGTATATTCTACAGCTTACAAACTGTGAATAGATTACTGCGTATCCTAGAAGGCAGTAACACTGCTAAAATAGAACATGTAGAGTTATTCTTAACTTAATGTAGAAATTAACAAAATATAAGCGATATTATTGTCTATAGTACTTACCATATCATACATAATAAGTGGTCATATAAATGACGTTAATCAACTAGCTAGGCATGAAAGATTTACGAAATATTTTAGTTTGGCTGTGTTATAATTTATGAAATCAAATGCTAAATTGTGAAAATGAAAGCAATGAGCCAACGGCATGATTTCACTATAGGCTATAGCCTATTTATCGTCAAATTCAAGCTCTGCTGTGTAAAAAAGGATAATTTCACCATTGACGGTATGATATAAATGAGCAAGTAACGTGAAAGTTAGAGATTTTATATAATCAAGCAAATGATTTGAGAAACAAATGGGTGTTTTACACCAAATCCCTTTTCAAACCTTCGTGTGTAATCTGAACACCTGGGTGTTGTGAAAATACTTAGGCGATTTAACTACATGTTTTGATATAAACAAACGCTTGATCAAATTAATACAGGGATTAACATGTGGCTCTATTTTTCTGTCATGCTCTCCTGGAGTGAGGTCATACTCATTTTGAAGGATGGTATAGAGAATAATCTGCGTTGGGAGTTTATTTCCATTAAATATGTATAATGGGAATTATAACTCATGTGGGTAATCTAAACGTTATGGGATACTCTACTAGGACCTTGGTATGACCTAACAGCCCAGTACTATTATTACTATGATTCCTGTCTTTGTCTTGTGTGTAGACGTGCTTTTCCCCAGATCCACTAATCAGAGATTTCAAAAACAAATATGAAACCTTAATAATATAGATAAAACCCAAGTAATATTTTGTGATTTGTGAATAAAGATTTTGTTCATTCCTACACCTATCTTTGATTGATATTCCTTTGCTTCCTCTGTTAATTTTATTCTCTATATAATATTTCCAGAGCCTGCCATATTGTAGATAAGTATGAATTTCTGACAGACATCAGTATGTCTGAATACCACATATCAATTAACAGTGTTTAAAGAAATGCAAAGAAGTATCTGGATCCATTCCTCAAATAGATTTTCTCCTGGAATAGTTGGACTGGAGTCATATTATGTCACATCTAAAGTTGAATCTAGATGGTTAAGCACTCAACACGTGGGGCACTTTGGTAATAAGTAGCTTTAATACTGGGATTAAGACATCACTGAGATACAATGCGGATCCAATCCTATGTAGAAAGAAGTGACGCCTATGAATAAGTTCAAAGCTCAAAGGGACGAAACCATGAAAACGTATGCATAAGGAGGTTTTCCTGAACACGTGATTCATGAATTGTGAGGAATTCCTCGTGGACAAATTTGTGTAAAGGCTAAGAGTAAACCCAGGCAGCACCACACAGGTTTCAAGAACATTTTGTTTCTAACTGAGGCTAT